TGGAGCCCGCTGCCGTGGCGGAGGAATCCACGGCGGCCTCGGGGGCGCCCGCGGTTGCGGCGGAGGAATCCGCGGTGGCGGCGGAGGAGCCCGCCGCCAAGGAGCAGGAGGAAGGTACGGTTAAGGTGTCAGCAGTGAAAAGTGCAAAACTGAGTGTAGGTGTGGAGAAGGATGAGAGCGCAGTGTTTTGTGGTTATGGGATGAATGGTGGTGACGGTGAAAGTGAAGTCGGGGAGAGAGATGGTGTGTAGGGAGAGCAGGAGGCAGTGAGAGATGATGAGGAGTATCTAGTGTGTGGAGATCAGGGAGAGAAAGGAGAGGTGGAGGCAGATGGACAGAACAGTGTGGAGTTGGTTTTTGGAGCTGGAGTGGAGGCAGAGGAGGTGATGGAGTTGGAGGCTTCAGCCCCGATAATGAGGCGAAGCAGACGGAGGAACGTGGTGACTGCTGTGCAGGCCAGCAAACAGGCCCGCAAGCGGCTGTAGAAAGGAAGGAGGTATCGGACAGTGACAATGAGAGCTGAACCTAGATACCCTGCAGAATCTTTTAAAAGTTTCTTAGAACAAACTAAAAGATTCAGAGGAGTTAGTCGAAAGTTATTTTCCTAATTTGAGATTATTTTACTTCTCAGTAAGATATCATATTAGAAACGAAGGTGTATCAGGTTTTACAGACCCAGAAGATTAAAGAAAATAATGTCCAAAGTTAGAAAACAACTCTGAGTAACATGATGCACAGTAACATTTTAATATTTTTTATAGTCTTTTGTTTTTAGCTTCTTACCCAATATGGATTCTTTTAAAATGGCATCATTGAATCTGAACGGGATGAGGAGGATCGTCTCAGATGAATAAAGCTGCTGTGAAGCTTCCTGCCCTTCAGACTGCGCTGTGGGACTGTGACCAGCAGGGGGAGCTGTAAGGCAAAACTTTACTCAACCTTTTCTTTTGGACCTGTTGTTCTCACTTTAGTTTTCTGAAACTATCAGAACCATCAGGTCTTTTTCCGGATTTTCCTCAGCCGTTTGGGACAATCTGAGCAGAACTGAACGGAAACTACAGAAAGTTCTGACAAATAAACCAAATATCAGACCTGTGGGTCCAAACTGGAAAAGTTCTCGGTTTCTAAGATTTAACTGATTCCCAGCTAATCAGCCAATAAGTCACAGGAAAAAGATTTCCTGGATCAGCTCAGATCAGCAAGTCAGGACCAAAAACTCATTTAGTTGGCAAACTAAATATTTAGCTTCAAAATAAATATTCAACTTGCTTACTAAGTGTTGTGTTTGAAGCTAAATATTTATCTCACTAGCTTAATATTTAGCTAGAGAGATAAACACTCAGTTTCAGACATTTATCTTGGATCTAAATATTTAGCTTTAAGCTAACTCTGCTAACTGTAACCCTTAAATATTTTTCACCAGAATCTCCTCTGGAGCTCAAACATGAAACATAAAATGACCAAGAAAATATTGTCTCTTTATCAGACAAATATATTTTTATTCAAATTAAATATATTTATAAGACTGAAGTTTTCTGTCGGCGCAGTTCCAGCTTTCTGCCGGCAGGGGGCAGAACTGTTTATGCTTCTGGATCATCTCAGAGGCTCCTGACGGAATCCCCCTGATGCCTTCAGGTGCAATCAGGATATTTATGCGTCCCGCTGCGTGGCATTCCTCCCTGCTGCAGAGCCGCACCTGTCCAGGTGTCGGGAAGCAGGAAGTAGGAAGCAGGAAGTAGCTGCTCTGACACATCGGACAGGTGGTTTCCTGCAGAAACATGGTCAGAGCTATGAGCAGAACTCTGCAGAACCTTCGACTCAAACCAGAACAATCAGCTGCTGGAACTGCACCTGACAAGTTCAAACCCCTACCAAGGCCCTGACCGGGTTCTGGTTCTGGTCCTGGTCCAAGGCCCTGACCGGGTTCTGGTTCACTGACAGCTGAGGAACCCCAACTTTCTCCTCATGATCACATCAACAAAGATGGAGTCAGAAGGATAGATTTATAAGATGACCAGAATAAAGGAGGAAAATATTAAAAACAAATAAATGTGGACTTACTGGAAGAAAACTGAATTATGGAGCAAAACCCGAAAAAGACGAGAGAACATCAGAATAAAACCTGAATTAAATCAGGTTCCAACCAAGAATATAAAAAATAAAAACAAGAAAAAAATACAACAGAATAAAAACTAAAACAAATCACTTTGCATGTGAAATCAAACAAACAGATAAAGACAGGACCGAATCGGAATAATCCACAAAATACAAGCAGAATCAGGATATAGAAACAGGAATAAAGTCTGGATTCAATTATAAATGAATAAATAAAAATATATTATAAATAAAAAGGTTTAAATTAGGACAAAGTCCAGGTCAGAATGAAGATGAAATTGGTGTAAAAAGGGAATAAAATCAAGATTAAATCAATAAACTAAAAATAATAAAGGAAAAAACATGAAAGAAATGTAGATAAGGTTGTAATAAAACCAGCAGAATGAAGGATAAATCTCGGTTTTTTTGCTCCAGAGTAAAACTAACAGAACTTCAGGTTCTGACCATTAATGACCCGGACCCACCAGAACCAGAACAGATAGATGGATAACTAGATGTGGGAGCTGGAGGAGGTGACGTAGGCCGTGTGATGACGTCAGTCCCCGTGTGTCTCGGGGTGTGTTTGTTTGTGAGAGGAAGCGGCTGGTTGGATGTTGGGCGGGGTCTGAGGAGTCACGGAGAGGCAGAGGAGAGGAGAGAGCAGAAACCAGTCCTGATCCCGATCCCGGTCCCGGTTCTGATCCAGCGGCAGCGGCGGACACACCGACCCAGCGGAGCCAGCGGACAGGCGGACAGCCCGGGGAGGATGGGCCGGCCGTAGCGCGCTGCTCTCCGGCTCGCAGCTCCAGGATGAGCGTAGCGCTGCAGGACCTCCGGAACACCGTGAGAGACACGCACACGCGCACACCGGCACGCGCGCACACGCACACTCAGATACGCACGCGTTCACTGGTCCGCGTGACCATTACAGCGCACGCGCTGAGGATGCTGACCAGCTGTCAGTCACTGAGATTGATTAGCGCGGGGCTTCCGGCCTGTGATCACCTTCCTGGTGACGTCACTGATAAGTTAGATGACGTCAGATCAGAGCTTGACCTTCTTCTGCAGAGTCTCGGGTGATGCTGGGATGGTTTCCTGCAGGGTCTCCTCAACAGAATGGGTTCTGGTTCTGGTTCTGGTGGACATTCCCACAGGAAGTCCAGCTGCTGGTTTCCAGGTTGGACCGAGACTCTGAGACAGACCAGTTTTGCTGGTTTCAAACCGGACCAGAACCTCCTAGCTGCTGGCAGGAAGTTGATCTGAATAAAAACAGCTGTTGGCAGTAACTGGTGCAGAACGACTCCAGGAGTCCCAACACTCGGCCAGGTGGGACTCCAGGAGCATCAAGCATTAAAACTTAAAACCGTGTTGTTATTGTGTATTTAATACAAATAACACATCTTTTCATTATTTCATGTTTTTATTACAAACATTAATAAGAGGCCTACTGTCATGAAAAAACTTTTATTTTGTAATATTTTTTAACTTTCAACACAATGAACAGATTTTCACTCGCTGGATGTTTTCATTTCACACTAAAATACTTTATTTCTCATCTTGATACACTTTAGAGTCATGCTAGTCCGTACTTTAAGACATAGCATCAAATTTTAAAAGAAAAACATGAAAAGTGTCTCAATAACAAAAATTTCTCAACGCCTGTGGTTGTACATCTGCGACCCCCATGTTGAATACCTCTGATGTAAAGGAGCTGAAAATTTTGCTTAAAATGGTAAAATCCTATTTTGCTAGAAGAAATAAAACTCCTTAGAGAGTTCATTAAACGGTCGGAGACGATGCAGAAAACGGAGCCATCTCCATCCATCATGGACGCAGAAACGGCCTGTTAAAGTAAATATTCCTGCAACCGCCGTTTAGAATACAATATACTTTATTGATCTCTAAGGGGAAATTGCTTATTTGCTGAAAGCTATTCCATCTCAGGTAATAAATACAAAGTTTGTAAAAAAAATATATATACCTAAGAGTGATAGTTCAAAATGACTGGATATAAACAAATAAAAAATTAAATAAATAAATAACAAGCAATCACATGCAATATATTAATCAATAAATAACCTATAAATGAGCGCAGAAAAATATTTAATCAATTAGCACAGACTTGGACAACAGGCAGAAATTACTTTCTGTGGCGCTTTGTGTTGCTCCGGTCTCCGACCAGCAGGTCATGGAGCGGATGAGACCCAAGATGGACGACACAGAACGTATCGGGACCCCCAACGTATTGGGGGCCTCAACGTACTAGGGGCCTCAACGTACCGGGGGTCCCAATGTACCGGGACCCCCAACGTACTGGGGGTCCCAACGTACTAGGGGCCTCAACGTATCGGGGGTCCCAATGTACCGGGACCCCCAACGTACTGGGGGTCCCAACGTACTGGGGGCCTCAATGTACCAGGACCTCCAACGTACCGGGGGCCCCGATAAAGTTGTGATTAATTATTGTTAATGATTAAGAGTTGTTTTGGTGTAAAATCTGTTTTTAAAAGATAAACAACGGTGGACTTGTTGCTCGTGGCAACAAGATTTCCACCATAAAAAAAAGCTCCAAATACGGCAAGCTTGTTTATCATTTAGTGTTCTGACGTTGGTGCAGGTCTAACTCAGCTGGATTCTGGTTGTTAATTTCAACCGGTCTAAAAATTATTTTAGATTATTATTCGGTTCTATAGTTAAAAATCCATTTTCTCAGGGAGAAAAACATAAATATGAGTGTGGTCTGGTTATTTTTATAACAGCCAAATAAGAAGTGCTTTGACTGGTTTCAGAACCTTCTGGATCAGGTCTCTCCAGTTCTGCTCATTGGACCCGTTTGGGTCGGCTGAAGTTCTGTCCAGCAGCCTGAGCAGACAAGCTCAAGGGACAGAAAACCCGCTGCGTCACTTTGATCCTTCTGCAAAGGAAGGGATAAACAGACTGAGATGATGATGAGTTTTTCCTTCCATTAAACTTTCCCAGCAGCAGAAATGGGCTTTTCTTTAATTGTTTGTGTTCGACCAGATGGGATGACCCGTCGTTTTATCAGAATGCTCTGTGAGTCCAGCTCAGTCTGACTGGATGGAGATCAACTGTTTTCAAGCCTCTGCACAGATTCTGAGCTGGATTCAGGTCTGTACTTTGACTAGGCCATCCCATAATGTCTCTGGCTGGTCGTCCTGCTGGAAGTCGAACTTCCAGCCCAGCCTCAGGCTTTTTGCAGCCTCTAACAGGTTTTAGCTCCATCCATTGGCCCTGTCCCGCAGTATGATGCTGCCACCACTGTGGTGATGCTGGTTGTTCTGAACCTCTGAGGCCTTCAGACAGCCAGGCTCGATTTAATTATCAGGTGATATGATGTCTGTAATCCCTGGAAAGATTTAAAAATTCTGGGATGATTTTCCAAACGTGAGTTCAGGGAAAACAAAATGGCTGACTGGGAAGTCGGATGATATTTAACAGGGAAAAAACAAAACAAAGACATCCACCATGTTTCCGTCACCTCACTTTCTGATTGGCTGGGCGATTAATCAATTTGATCAATTAATCATATTTTGGTTTTCAAACATTTAATTTTTCTAAAATCTGTGTTTTTTGCCCCAATGAGATCTGAGTGATGTCATCACGCCCAGGGCGGCCATCTTGCTTTATAAGCATTTTTTACAGCTTATTTTTATTTGGACTTTGAATTCATGTCAATTCTATGATGGAGTATTAAAGACAGACCACAGTTTGTTTTGTGTGTTTTTGTTATAAAATACAGTCATACTAATATGATAATAAAGCCGTAATATTAGAAGAATAAATTAGTAATTCTATGAGAACCCCAACACAAAAATTAAAAACTTAAATATCTAAATTATTTTCTCCATAAAGTGACTTTTTCCACTTCATTTTAAGACATTAAGACATTGTAACTTTATTCTCATAACAAACATTATCATAGACCAACATTAATAGTCCATGTTCAACTCACAGAAGGAATAATTAATAAAACACCCTTTTTGAAAACATTTCTTGAAAAGAAAAAAAAGATTGCCCAGCTCTCGCTAAACGTCACGTTCAGCAGAAGGAAAATCTTCAGATTTTCTCCACAGCACCGCGATGGTCGGGGCGTCCTTAGGAGAAAATCTGCTAAATTATTTTGCCATGTGAACTAGAAATTAATTACACAGGATTTTTTATTTTGGGGTGTCAGGAGGAAAAGGAGCTTCATTCAAATGCATGCCACACTTTTCAGATTACACATCGTTAAAAATGTTGTTTTGCTTCCATTTCACAGTTCAGTTCAGGGTTTGGAAACTTTCTCTGTGCTTGTCTGACTCATTCTCTGCAGAAAGAAGGTCAGCTTTGGTTTCTGAGGTTTGGTGAACGCGTCACAGAGAGGGTAGGAATACTTTCTGGCTGCTGTGTCCCCCCCCCCCAGGAGGAGCTTTAACTCCCTCCTGAGGCCCGTCGGGTCAGAAGGTTAATGCGATCCTCTCAGATGCGGCGCTCCCTGGAGTTTCTGCTAATTAAAGCCGTTGTTCCCAGCAGGAAATGAAACTTCCTGCATTGGTGCTCGGCGACACGTTGAGAGCAGAGGAACCTGCGGAGCTTACCGGAACAACCTGTTGGGCCCGTTCAGGCGCCGACTCCACCGGCTCAACGAGTCTCCGCCTGCAGGTTCAGGATATGAACCGAACACTTACTGACCAACTGGGACCGGTTTCATCAGAACCGGAGGGGCAGCAGGGACATATAAACCCATGACTGTCGCTAATAAACTCAATCTAATCAAGCTTCGTCTGCTTCTGGTGATGATATTAAAACTCATCTCCATGAGAGAAAAATATTTCCCAACGGAGCCAGAGAGCAGCGCGGGATCCATTCAGCTGCAACTTCAGAACCGGTTCTGATCACAGCTTCTCTTCAGATCCACCGTTAGACACAGAACCAGAACCATTTGCTTGTATGCCTTCACACACATGACCTCCACTGACACCCAACAGCTTCATCTCCTCTGGGATGCTGACATGTTTTTAGAGGAGTTTCTGTCCAATTCTGAGGTCAGACACTGATGTTGGCCAAGCACTCACAGCGTGTTTCTATGGAAGCATTTAACTGCCACAGCTGGAAAATAAATTCAGTAGCATTACAATGAGAAACTTTCTCATTAAAATGAGACAATTTCATGTCATTACAGTGTAAAAGTTTTTCACTGTAACAAGATATGAAAATATCACAACACAACTTGTTAAAAGGCCATAAAGAAGCTCGACAAGCTCTCCTTCTTATCACCCATTTCCTCTAAAAATCCAAGAGTTGTTTCTGTTTTACTACTGTGGTCTGTCTTATTTAACATAGAAAATATTTTTGGTTTTCTTGAGATATAAATCTAGTTATAATGACATACTGCTCCTGTATCTGGTAGTTAAAGGCTTCCGTACATTTCCACTAAACAAACTCATTCTTGAACTGGTTCAAGTTCGGATACCTTTGAACTTTGGTGCCCATTTCTGCCAGTTTGGGGAAACCAGCCTGTGTCAGTGGGAGTTACACAACACGTTGGGGAACGTGTTGTGACGCTAGCTAAGCTGTAAGCATTACTGCTTTGTTTACGTATTTTCCTTTAACAACTCTTACTGCACATAGCATTTAGGCTAATGTCATAAAGCAACAGAGATGTTGATGACTTAGCGTGGTGCTGGGATAACCTGAACCCGGTTTCTAAGCTAGCTGTTTCAAACTTTTATAAATCTATGAAGCCCAACCAGGTCTCTTACATTCACAGACTAATTGGCTCGACTCAAACAAGTAAACGCCATGAATAAACTGGCAAAAACAACTTCATTCACTCTGTTCAAGAGATGATCTTAGATCTTCCTGCCGTATGTTCAGAGTGATCTGGTCTGCTAGGAAAGATGTCGGGACCGCTCTGATCTAAAATCAGGAATATTCAACACGTTGGTCCAATATTGCAGCATGTATTGTTCCCTCAAGATCAAACGAGAATGCAGCCTGTTGAATGTGATGCGTAGCCAATCAGATGGTGAGACGGAAACATGGACGACAATCCAAAACACAAAAAAGACAAACCAACTGCCATGGCGAACCAGGGAGTCCAGTGGAAGTTGGAGATCATCCAAGATCTCTTTGTATTGTTGTCCACTGATTGTCGCCATGGGCGGCCATGTTTGTTTACGCTGAACTCACGTTTGATCTTGAGGAGTTTTGTGAGATTTCCCATCTGACTGAGTGATGGTGAGTGAAACGGGTTGGTGTCCTGCGTGTTGTCACATTGCTCAACCAAACCACCAAGGAGTCCAGTGGAAGTCGGAGATCATCCAAGACATTAGTGTGTTTTTCTCTGTGAATATCGTCCACTACCGCCATTGCTTCTTCCCAGTTGGTCTCACCGGTTTGGAAATCAACAATGGTTGTATATGTGACATCAGCAGTGAGCAGTGATACAGTCGCAGACTGTACACCTCTACATGTCTGCTTTCCAACGTAGACACGTAAATGCAGATAAGAAGGATTCTCAAATCTCCACTTAGGTCAGAGATTTTATTGATGATCGTTATTAGTGATATTACATAGAGTTTACATGTGGATGGATATGGAAGAGGGTTAGGGTCACTGAGAAAAGGGAATTCTCACTTTTCCACAGAATTTTAACTTTTTTTTCCTGAGTTTTGACTTTTTCACATTTACTCTAGATTTTGACTTTAGTCTTCTGAAATAAAAAGTTAGAATTGTGATTTTAAAAGGACTTCTTTTTTCCAATGGCTCTCTTCCTCCTCTGAAGGTGGATCTGTATATTTTCCCAGCTTCGGTTCCTGTAGATGTTTAGCACCAGAACCTGATGGATCCGGCTCCGACATATCGGAGCTGCAGGATCTTGGGTTTTTCCTGCCGTTTGGCTGAAAGACGAAGCGTCTCGCTCGGAGTGTTTGTCTCAGGTCAGAGTATGGAGGCTGGCAGGGGACAAAAGAGCAGACAGACAGATGTTATATAAGCTGCAGAGGACTCCATTAGAGCTGAATGGAGATGATTCACACACATTATCTAATTACACACACACACACAATGACATCAGGCTTCACAGGGAGAGACAACACACACTCCCATCTCCTGGCAACCTGATCGCTGACCCCCCCCACTCTGCGTGCGTCATCAATTAAAGGGAACACAGCGGGGCGAGCGACACAAAAGGAGAGAGAGAGGGAGACAGGTTTCAGTGCGGGTCCTGAGGAAGGAAACAGTTGGAAACCTTTTGTTTCCTGCAGGACACCGACGCTCTGCAGGCCGACGGGAAGCTGTGCTGCAGGACCTGCTGCAGCAGTGTGCTCTGCAAGCTGCTGCCGCCGCCGAGGCCTCCAAGGCCGCTCACCGCCGCCACAGCTTCACACAGGGCTAAAATATTCACATATAGAGTTAAAAAGCCAAGACAGCAACAACAAACTGATAGCCGACAAGAAAACAGGTTGTGACTGATTCAGAGCGATTAATCAGATTAATCACTTATTCAAATAATCATCAGCTAATTTAGTGATCGATCAATCTTTAACTGGAGTATTCCAACTCAAAATGCAACTTGGTGAATAGAAACACATTTTTGTCATTAAAAAGCAAGCTTTGTTGATTTGTGAAAGCAACAAAAGGTGATGGACACTTTTTACAAGAACTGTGTGAACTTATAAAGATAAACTAAAATCTCCTCTATCATCTTACGGGTTGTTTGATTTGAAAAGCTGGGATTCAGTTTTATTTGACGTGTTCTGTGTTTTCCTCTCAGCTTGAGGGGCTTCCTGTAGCTTCACTGGAGAAGTTTCTGTTTTTATGGAGCTCTGATTTTAATTAAAATCGTTATGAATAAATAAGATTTTTTTTTACTGCCCAGCCTGAGCAGTGAGAGTTACAGTTGTTCCATTTTTAAGAGGAATGGAGGACAAACGAAAAGCTTCACCTGGAACAACCTGACCTTTAAACGTAGATGAGACATGAAACAGTTGAAACGCTGACAACACTGCAAAAACACAAAATCCTACCAAGTTTGTTTGGTTTCTAATGCAAATATAAAACTAAACTACAATTAATATATATACATATATAGGATAGTAAATAATTTATTAATATTGATGAAAAGGTTGTGGTTCCGCAGATTTTTGTCCACTTATGGAATAATGTATTGTAGGTGAAGTAATCTGCCAGTAGAACTAGTACTTTTTAAATATTAATATTAAGGAACTATTTACTTAAAACAAAGTTCTACATCTTGCTGAAAAGTTAATTTAAGTTGGTTTGATCTTATTTGAACTGAGATATTTGCACTGGAAACTGAACCAGAGATCCAGAGTGTTTGTTTGGGACGATGTGTTCGAGTCCAAGCGGAGCGATCCAGCTTCCCGCCTGAAGCAAACCGACAGCGGATCGATCCGAACCGCGATCCGGAGCGGAGCGCCTAATCTGATCTGATCCCGGGTCTATTTGTCTCCCTGCAGATGTCCAGCTACAAGCGAGCTACACTGGAGGAGGAGGAGGGCTCCGACACGCCGGCCGAGGCGGCCTCGTCTCCCGACAGAGTGGAGGTCAGTGAACGCACCGCACAAACAAACAAACAGCAGCCAGGCTGCAGGGGATCCTGGGAGCATCCAGGTGAAGTCCTGACCGGACGGACGGGGGCCTCGCAGGGAGGAAGCTCCACAGGGGCCCCTCAGCTGGGGGCCTCTCAGCAGGGGGCCACAGCCACCAACACAGAGTAACAGCAGGGGGCCTGGAGTGCTGCCAGGCCATGAAAACAAACACGCTTTCTGTGTGAGGGAGAGAAGAAAATCATAAATCCTGTCAGGAAAACAGGCATTTAAACGAAAACACACAGTTTCTCCCAACGACAGCTGAAGGTTTAGGTAGAATCTGTGTAATTTAGGTTTTATAGTGTATCCTCCACACAAGCTGCTGCTTCTTTGTGCTTTTGGTTGCAGCCGAAATCTTTTCTTAACTCAGTTGGGTTTCGCTCAGTGTGGTCTACAAAACATTTTAAAGAAGCTTTTAAAATGGAAAAATGTGGAATATTTGACAGGAACCTTTTATTCAGTCCGATAAAAACCTCCTGATCCAACCTTCTTTGGAGATGTGCCTTATTGTTGAATCAGCTGTCAACAGTGATTACGACAGATCGGCCAGTTAGCTTAACAAAAACTACAAACTAAACAAAATATATAGACATTCATGGAAAAATGGAAGTTAAAAAACTAATGGTTGGCTTCTGTCATTTTCTAAAAATGGCAGGCTGACAGATTCACTGTTTTATAGCTTTATGCTACTCTATGCTAACAAAAGGTTAAGATAACTTATCTTTCCTTATGTTAGCTTAGGTTTGATATGAACAGGTAAATCAAGCTAACATTCATAAGATGCTTATGCTAAAGTAAGCCAAGATAAGCTAATCTGAGCTACACCATGCTAAAATCAGCTAAGCTAACCTCAGGTAGCTAAACCGATTAGATTATTTTAGCTTACTAAAGTAAATTTAAAACAAGCTAAATACAGATAAAGTTAGATGAATTTATGGGGTTAGGGTTGGATAAATTAAACTTAGATAAACTAATATTACTGTAGTTAAACTGCACCAAGCCTAAATAAACCTGTCAAACTAAAATAAGGCAAGAAAAGACAAAAGTTAGTTAAACTGAGCTAAAATAATACAAGTATAAAAAAACAAACCAAGATAAACTAATCATAGCTAAGTTAAGCGAAACCAAGTGACACCCAGCTGTAATCAGTCAAGCTAACCTCAGTAAACCAGGCAGCTGTAGATTAACTAAAAACACTAAAGTAGCCCTGGTAGATTTCTACTTGGTAATTTTGACTGGGTTAAGACCAGCAGACTCTGTTTTCCAGTTGCTCTTGAGATAAAATCATTTTTCTGAAAACTGTGGTCAGATATCAACACAATGCTAAATCATTCTGAGTTCAGAGCTTCTGCCTATGCTGGAGGTCAGAGCGAAGGAAAACATTCCTGTATAATTGGCCCAGAATAAAAGCAAGAGTCTGAAGAAACCCGAAGCTGCTCTGACTAAATGCTGCAGGAAATGAGTCTGTGGAGGCGAATCAGCGTGATTACAGCGCCGAGTGTTTTCTGTCCCAGAGACTCTAATCGCTTTAACTCCATCGTCTCCTGAAGTCTGGACAAGAAACACAGAAATCAGCAGCAGTAGAAAAAATTCAAATGAGCTCCACCTGGAGCAGAGCTGTGACGTCACAACGAGTGGGCGTGGCCTATTTAAAACCTGACAGCACACACTCACCTGCAGCTTTAACAGCAGAGGTAAAGTAAAAAAGAGAAGAAACAGGATAAACAAATCCCATCAGGATGAAAGAAAGCAGAAGATAATCCTCAGAAACCAGACGCTTCCCGACCCAACAGGACCAAACAGAACATCCTGCAGGTTTCTGCTCAGTCAGCAGTTTGTCTCGATCCCAATCTGTTTGACTGCAGAGGAAATCCAGAGGAAGGGATCTGGAGATCAGGTGGGACAGGTTGGTGTCCCAGGATCTCAGAATTTTTGTAGAAAAAAAGTTGGAAATTTCAGAAATTTCTAGATCAATCGAAGAAATTTTTTAGAAAAAAAAAAAAAAAAACTCCATAAATTTTCTTGTTTTTCTAGAAAATTTGAGATCTCAAAATTTCAGGGGTTTTTCTCGCAAATTTTCAACTTTTCAAACTCAGAAATTTCCACAAATTTTTTTTTTTATATATTTTTTTAAAGTTTTATATCAATATTTCTGAGAGGTTTTTTTTTCTAGGACATTTTTGGCTTTTGAAACTCTTTTTCTCTTTTTGAGTTTTTTTCGCAGAAATGTACTCCTCGTTCTTTTTCTATCTACAATACACACCGTGGTAGATTGGACAGGTGTTCTCCAGGTAAAGCCGCCTCTCTGTGTCCCAGGTGGGCTTCAGGAAGGGCGGTGTGGACATCCTGGGCCGGCGGACCCAGCTGGAGGTTCTGCTCTCCGTCATGCTGCTGGCCGCCCTGCTGGCTCTGTTCGCCTGCCTGGTGGTTCTGGGGCTGGGATTCAGCTCAGGTAACTGGTCCCTTCTCTCTCTCTCCCTCCCTTTCTCCTTCTTTTGTCCTCTTTTCCACCTCCTCCCTTCCCTTATCCTCTCCTCCTAAAGCTTCCTTGTTTTCCGGTCTCCACCTTTCCTCTGCCTCCTCCTTTCCTCTCTTGACTGATCTCCTCTCTTTCCCACGCCTGATTCTTTTCCTCTTCCTCCTCCTATTCTTGGTTTTGGTTCCATCTTCTCATCCTTCCTCTTCCTCTTCTCTGCTCCTTTCTTCTTTCCGTACTACAGCATGGGCGTCGCCTCTTCGTTGAAACGTCCTCGCTTTTCTCTCAGTTGAGCGTTTAAACATCACACTCACTCACTCCATGTGTGTTCTGCTGATCGTTAAACTCTGACAAACTAATGCTCACCTTTGGGAAGCCAAAGGTGCCACAAGTCACAACTTTTACCAAAGGTTGGTTAAAAACTGAAGGTAAAAAAAACTGTTTTCTAAGTTGAGGCCATAAAATGTTGTGACCACATTCTGAACGGTGGATTTATTAAAGTTAATTACTTTAATTTAATTTTTATGAGCATTGAACGCCTCTTTTTACATGTGACAGTGCTCAATGAATCTATTGAATAAGTAATGCTGCTTTTTTTGTCATTTTGATGAGATTTTTATCATGTTTTACGTTGTCCTGTGTTTTTTATGTAAGTTTTTAGCCACACATTTGGCTGCTAAAGTGGTGATTTTTGGCACTATTGTTTTGCAGTACACCTTCAGATATAAAAACAGTGTTCAATGCCCAGAATAAGCATGATTTATTTATTTATTTTTCACAGTTCAGAAGGTTGGTCTTAAAATTGTGTAAAAATGCTTAAATTGGACTTTGGCATTATTTTTATGGCATCCTGATTTTCAAACTGCCATTTTTTACTTGACTTTTTAATTGAGCGGGTGGTAAAAGTGGTGAATTTTGTCACTTTAGGCTTGTTGTACTTTTTTTTTTATTGTTCAGAACATGGTGTTACGACAGGATTTTCATCATATTTTACGATGTCCTAGCATAAAAAAACATTTTTTATGTTGCCCTCCTTTCTAATGCTCTTGCTCCTTATGTTTGGAATGCCATTAGGGCCAAAAATACGCAAATATTCATGCGTTTTTAACATGAAAGCAACTTTTTAAAATTGTGTTTACAACTTAAAGGGTAAGTAAAGGAGCCACACCACCAGCTGAGCACAGACAGATCGCTCACATCCAATCAGAGTATTCCCTGGACGAAAAAGAACCAATCACAGGCATTACACATCCTGTTTCCTGTCGAACCTCTTCGGTTCTTTCCTGTGGTACCCGTCTGTATCTTCAGTCATCCTCCGATTGTTCTCCTCCGTGGTTCTTCCTCTCCCTCGGGTTCAGCCTCTTCTGAGCCGTGACCGTTTTGCCCTCCGTGTTGTCTTGCAGACAGTGGGCGGGGCCTGTGCCTGTCGGAGGCATGCGTCACCGTGGCCAGTCAGATTGTGGAGGCGATGGACCGCAGCGCCGACCCCTGCCAGGACTTCTACCAGTTCGCCTGCGGCGGGTGGATGAGGAAGAACCCGCTGCCGGACGGACGTTCGCGCTGGTCCACCTTCAACAGCATCTGGGAGCAGAACCAGGCGCTGCTCAAACACCTGCTGGGTAAATGAGATAAAAAACAGTGGGTCAGAACCGGCCGGAACCAGCTGAACACACTGACGGGTTTTCTTCTCCTGTGCAGAGAACGGGACGTTCAACGGCACCAGTGAAGCCGAGAGGAAGACCCAGTCCTACTACCTGTCCTGCCTCAACACGCAGCGCATCGAGGAGCTCGGCTCTCAGCCGCTCATAGACCTGATAGCCAAGGTAGCCGCCAGTGGAGGGCGCACTTCTGCTAACAGCGGAGCTAATTTTTTTCTGTTTTACATATGAGTGTTCTTTCTAACTTTGGTATGTTAGCTTCCTCTGAATTACTTTAATGTAATTTTTATGGGTAAAATCTAAAGCGCTAAGCTAAAATTAGCTCCCATAATAAGAGCAGAACTAATTTTAGCCTATTGTCTTTTCTAACTTTGAAAATATTTAGCTATACTAGCTTCTCCTAAATAGTTTTTTTCCTGGAGAAATTCTAAAGCAGAAAAATAAAAATAAAAAATTGCTCCACTAATAATAGAGGAGCTTTTTTTTTTTTTTTTTTTTAGCATAGCACCTATGTGGTAAATTTACCACATTTACATCCACTAAAAAAGTCTGGGGAAATTCTAAAATGCTAAGCAAGAAAGTTTTTGTCAGCATTTTGAGAACTTCAAAAATATTTACCACAATTAGCTTCCGCTAAGTACATTTTTCTGGATAATTTCTTAGGCTAAAAATTAGCTCTGCTTTTTCTATCTTAGCGCTGATGCTAACTTTGAAAACGTTTAGCTTTCCCTAAATAAATTTTTCTAGTTGGCATCAATGTGGTTGAGCTTAGCGATGCTGGAAGCGAGCGTTAGCATTAGCAGAGGAAATATTTATGATTATCTCTCAAGTGTTAGCACTGCTAGCCTTTTAGTTAGCGGTGCCCACCCCTGGTAACCGCCCATTCAAACTGTCTCCATAGTAACTGCATTACTAAAATTACGACCCACTTGACCTCCATGAAGATCGTTTCTTCCTGAATAGGAGGAAGATCAGTAGTCTTCCTCTCTGGAGGATGATGGTCTTCAGTTGTTATGGAGATGACCTTTTACCCTTCAAGTAACAGTGGCTGCCATCTTTCCACCCTGGTGTTGTGGTGACGCACCGCAGTCTGCCGGAGCCGTCCTGACCTCTGACCCTGTGGTCCGTCTGCAGATCGGCGGCTGGAACATGACGGGTCCGTGGGACAAAGACAACTTCATGGAGGTTCTGAAGATGGTGTCGGGTCCGTACCGAGCCCAGCCGTTCTTCAGTGTGGGCGTCAGCACCGATCCCAAGAACTCCAACAGTAACGTCATCCAGGTTCTGTTCCCGTTCGAGACATTCAGACCGTCGAGTTCTTGACCTCCAGGTAAAACAGCTCACCTGCTGCTCTACTCTCCAGGTGGACCAATCAGGGCTGTTCCTTCCGTCCCGGGACTATTACCTTAACAAGACGGCCAATGAAAAGGTGAGGCTCCCTGCAGGGGTGGGTTCAGTGGCCCGGTATGGTCCGCCTGCGGTCTGGTGACCCGGTCCGCCTGCGGTCTGGTGACCCGGTCTGCCTGTGCCCTGCAGGTGCTGGCGGCGTACCTGGACTACATGGTGGAGCTGGGGACGCTGCTGGGCGGAGAGAAGAGCGCCACCCAGCTGCAGATGCAGCAGATCCTGGAGTTTGAGACGGTGCTGGCCAACATCACCGTCCCACAGGACCAGCGACGTGACGAGGAGAAGATCTACCACAAGGTCACCATCGCCGAGCTGCAGGTAAGAGCCCTTGTTCTGATTGGTTCTAAGTAACCTGAAAGAGAACTTTGGACCGTTTCTGGTTCTGTCCTGTGGTTCAGGTTCTGAGTCCAGTCCTGCTGAAGGTCAACCAGATTCTGGAATGAATCAAGTCTGTTGCAGCTGAAGGCTGCAACAGACTTTTTCCTTCCACTCAACTTTCTGTGAATATGCCTGACTGCAGCTCTCTATGAACAATCATCAGACTCTTGAAGGATTTTGATTAATAATCTTCTCAAGGCTGCGGTTATCCCTGTTGCTTCTTTTCCTACCACACTTTTTCCTTCCACTCAACTTTCCCCTTCCAGTGGAACTGATCTGATATAATCCAGTTTATATTTAGTTTTTTTCCCAGCAGCTGTAAGTCAGAATAGACCAGTTAATGTTTTTTTTTTGTGTTTGTGACAGACTGAGTTCTGATCTGGGTTGGATATCGTCTCCATGAAAAGCGATGTGTCAGCCACCACTGGTCGGGGTCAAAGGTCGTGTTTGTTCCCTCTGATCTCTGCAGGATTTAATCTAATCTGATGGGAGAGCAGAGAGTTTTCAGCTCTGCGCCGCGTCGCATCCTCTGTCCTTCAGGCCTGCGGATGCTTCAGGGTCACCATGGCGACTGTTGCCATGAGCCGTTGCTATGCGCCTGTATCTGTTAGATAACAGCTTGTTACGTAAACTGGAGTCGGTTTGGTTGTTTTGGACTGCTGCTGCTTCACCTGCAGAATCTGATCAGATTTGATTCTTAATCTGCTTCCTGCATCAGAATAATCCAGAATATTGGGATTAAACATCAACGAAGCTCAAGGAAAAAAACAACTGCGATCGATTATCTATCAGAAGTCATGTGACCTCTAACAAGAATGTGAGCCACTAAATAACTTATTTTATTAATTCAAATTACAGAACATTAATGTAAATGATGTTCTACGGATGAATGGGAGATTAACTGCGTCACATTTCAGCATCTGACCCACAAAAAGTGCAAATAGTTATTTCCCTCTATTTACTTAAAAATAAATGTAGATATTTGTCAGTATTTTTAAGTGATTTTTTTTATTTTAAAAAATTATTAGAAGGCATATTATTGGTCATTATTTAAGACATTTGATTTTCGACCCTCCGCTTGTTGTTTTGCGACCCCACCAGAGATCCCGACCCCCACTTTGAGAACCCTGTTGTAGCCGGTAGCTCCATGTTGTTCCCAAAGAAATTTATTATAACTTAATAGTTTTCAAATGCTTGAATATTGCTTACATTCATAGCAATCCCAAAATATGTCAAAAATAAATAAATAATAATAATGTTTTTACACATTTGTTCAAACTGAAACCATGTTATGATAGTTTGAGACAAATGATCTGTGAAAAGTTTGACCTCCTTCCTGAGCTGCTGCCATCTGAAGAAAAGCACCAAAATCAGCCAATCAGAGCCAGGAGGCGGGGCTTAGTGCTGTTAATCAACTTCATGTTCTCACTGCTAACTGTGTGGCGCTCAATGTCCTGTTGGTCTTAAAATGGTGTTAAAATCTCCAGATGGGATTTTCTTCGTATTTCATGGCTTCCTGATTTTTTTACTTTATCACAGATGGTGACAGGTTCCACAAATATGTACAACTCATTTTTTTAAAAAAATAAGTAACATACTGCAGTTAAAGTAATAGTCACCTGATTGCAAAACATGCATCTTTAAACAATTAAAATAAATAAATAAATAAAATTTTAAAAAGTCTATGCAACCACCTCTCCCAAAAACCTGCAGCCCTGGGCCGCTGCCCTGTCTGATGTCGGGTCCAGCTCTACTGCCTCCTGCTGGTGGGAAACAGCAGAAAACCTTCTCATGTGTTTCTCTGAGGTTCAGGTTCTGCCTCGGTGGGATTATTTTTACACCTGTCTCTGCCTGCGGGGGGCGCCGTCTGGATCAGCGTCATGTCTGGTTTCCATGGCGCCCTGCAGCCGAGGCTCGTGGGAAACGTAGTGCTGAGTGTGGCCTCTTGCTGTTTTGCAGCTGCTGGCTCCAGCTGTGGACTGGCTGGACTTCCTGACGTTCTCCCTGGCTCCTCTGGACCTGAACGACACCGAGCCTGTGGTTCTGTACGCCAGAGAGTACCTGCAGCAGGTGTCCGAGCTCATCAACAAGACGGACCGCAGGTATCAGCTGCCGGTCCTGGCAGGGCCCGGCCCCCTGACCAGACCACACACGTCCACTCACAACAGCTTCTGATCCACAGACAAAATATGTGCAAAACATTTAAATCTGCTGGTTTTTTCTTCTCACTTTTATTAACTGTTATGATCGTTACATCCATTTAGCACAAATGCTGCTTTGTACCTTCATATTTTAGACATTGACTTTATGTTGAATCAGACCATGTTGTACTGTGTTGATGTAGCATTTTAGCTTTAGCAGAACTAATTTAGTCTTGATAAGAAAATATGTAATATTTTTAGATTAATCCCATCATTTTTTAAATCTCTACACTTTAGTTTTCCACTTCTAGGTTGAGGAGCATCTTAATAAATTTGGCAGCCAATCAGAAAGATGGAAATATAAAAAAATGTTTTCCTAAATTTCCCCTCTGAGGGACAGTACAGGTTTACTAACTTATATCTCCATCTTTGATAAATTATTTAAACTATATTTTATAATAATGATTGAAAAACAGATTAAATTTATTATTAAAATGATTATTTTCCAGTGTTTGGCGGCCCCTATGGGGTCACGCCCCTCACTGTTTCAGTCGCTGACCTTCCCCCTCCTGTTTCTGCCTGCAGTCTGCTGAACAACTACATGATGTGGACGTTGGTCCAGAAGGGCGTCGCCACCTTGGATCAGCGCTTCGAGAACGCTCAGGACAAACTGCTGGAGAGTCTCTATGGCACCAAGAAGGTACGTCTGCTAACGCTAACGCCGCCTCACCTGAGCTCAGTTCACCTGCTGACGGCCATGTCTCTTCCAGATGGAGGTAGGAATCCCCACGGTTGGTAATCCTTATCCCTGGGCTTTGAACTGGAAAAACCAAACTTGTTTAAAGTGGTTTCCTGTGTGTGTTGATGGTTCCAACTGGTTCAGTTGTTCTGTATTTACTGGAGACACTTGATTCTCTCCTGTTGTAACTGGTTCTCACTGGTTCAGCTCTGCTCTTGGAGGAAATCAGGAGTTAAACTCAATTTCAGAGATGAAAGTTGTGTGAAAGTCTGAGAGGGTGTTTATTGATTCTGCGGTAAATAATTAGCTCCAACCTTCTTAAACTGTGATGGTAATATCAAAATAAAGTCTTCAGCAGTGGTGGGTAGACTTCCTCTAATCTGCCAACGGTGGAGCTGGTACTTTGTTCAGTGCTTCATCTAACATTGGAACTGTTCAGCACACATTGCTTCCCCTGGGCTTCAGTTGCTTATTGAAGGTGGACGTTTCTGCCTTGGATTAAGTAATGTTCCTAAATTGAAACAGTCACTTTTACCTCATTAGCCTGTGAGAACCAGTCCAGATGACCTTTTCCTCTTTCTTCCTGTCTGCTGCTGGTCTTAACAGTGACTGGCCTACATTTCTGCTGCAGCTGGACCCGATGTCTCTTGAAGCCGTTTTTCTCAGGCCCTGAGGATCATCTTCCTCTGGATGATTGGGAATCACTGAAGCTTCCATGGAAGGCAACTGGTCTTCCTGAAGATGGTTCTCATCATGAAACCTTCTTCAGTTTTGGTCTTGGATTGGGCTGTTCAGACCCTTACACTAATTGGGTTTTTGAAGTCACTCGACTAACTCGTCTCTTCCTGATATAGAAGCGCTTTGGATGGAGGTGAAACCTCTTCGAGAAACAAACCAAGACCAGCTACCCTCCATTGAGGGCTGTGGGTTGTCATCACCTGAACCACCGATATAACTCACCAAGTTGGCTGCGCTCACCCTGGTTTAATGGTCTCTTCCGTCCTCTCCTGTCCATCAGTGGGCATAGCCTTCTGTAATGGACTCTAATTCTTGCCTAATTAGGGTTTTTACATTTGTGGTTCAAAGTGAAGAATGTTTTTGTTGAAACTGGTTTTGGACACTGGATTCTTCTTTCATTGCTGCATGCCAATGGCTCTTAGAGGCTGGCAGGCTTGGCCTCACCTCTGGTTTGGCTGAACATCATTCAGCTGCCCCTACCTTTCTCTCTCACTGCCTGTAACTGCTGCACCCACCTCCACCCGGATACGGTCGGCTCCAGCTGGTCGCGGTCGGCCTCAGTTGGCTCCATCCAGTTGTAACTGGTCATCTTTTTGCAGTCCTGCACCCCACGCTGGCAGACCTGCATCGGGAACACCGACGACACTCTGGGCTTCGCTCTTGGCGCTCTCTTCGTCAAGGCAACGTTTGACAAGCACAGCAAAGAGATTGTAAGTCCCTGTGTTGCCTTAGCCTTGGTTGGTCCAGGAGGTCCCACCTGGTTAACTTCAGCTGTCTTCCCGTCAGGCGGAGGAGATGATCAACGAGATCCGCTCTGCGTTTAAATACTCTCTCGACCGTCTCAGTTGGATGGACGATGAGACGCGACAAGCTGCTAAAGACAAGGTACGTGGGTCGAGTCTTAGGATTACCAACAACGTTCAGACATGTCATTGATGACGCCTGCCTGATGAGTTGTCGTCATGGAGACATGATGTCCTGAAGGTACTGGTGGCGTCTGTGTCTCTTGGCAGGCAGACGCGATCTACGACATGATCGGTTTCCCAGAGTTCATCCTGGATCCCAAAGAGCTGGACGACGTTTACGACGGGGTGAGTGACGCCTGTCGGGACATAACATGGTTCACTCATGTTCTGGTTCAGATGTTAAAGTGGACCTCCTCTGCCCCCTGCTGTTGGAGATGTGTCATTACTTCATCTTGGCTCCGTTTCAGTATGAGGTGTCGGACGATAACTTCTTCCAGAACATGTTGAACTTCTACAACTTCTCAGCCCGAGTGATGGCCGACCAGCTGAGGAAGACTCCCAACAAAGACCAGTAACCCAGAAGCGCACCTCACAGAACATTTTCAGATCCTCCTTTCACCCAGTTTCACCCAACCATGTAGCTTCACCGGGCGAAAATTATGAAGCAACTTGATAAAACCTGAGCACGCTCTGTGTATGCTGAGTCTTTTCCCAGCAGATTGTTTAACCTATTCTGAGACTGACTCCAGTTCAACAGCAAAGTAGGAACAATACAAAAAAACATTTTATGCAAAACCTGATTTAATTCTTATTTGTATCTGTAGTCTTTAAGTGGAGATGACTGTTTACTGATATGCATTAAATCTGTCATGACAAACGGCTGCAAACACAGCCAGCCAGGAATGGGAGCGGGAACTGGACTGAGAAAATGTACGCGATGTGAAGAGTCACAGTTTCAGTTCATCTCATGGGTCACCACAACCCTGTTCTTGGGTTTCTAGGTAACAAAGCATTGTGCTGATGTGAAACTGGTCTCATTTCAGAGAAATGAGCCTTTGTTCTCTGATCATATCAGGGTCTGACTTTAGTTGAGCCAAGAAAATCAAAAGGCATTGCCTCTCTGTAGAAAATCTGTAAGAAGGTCTGTAAACCCATCTCCTGATGTTTTGGTGAAGAACTGGACTTAAACACAGCAGCACACTGTTGCTTCTGCAGAAATGAACAATGTTTGAAACCAGACAGATTGAATTATTAACTCCAGTTTGCCCTCTTCTCCTGCAGGTGGAGCATGACTCCTCCTACAGTTAACGCCTATTACATGCCCACTAAGAACGGCATCGTCTTCCCTGCCGGGATCTTGCAAGCTCCTTTCTACGCCCACGACCACCCCAAGTCCGTTTACCTCCACATCCACCTGTCTTCAGAATTTCTGTTCATGTTCTGTTCTGGTTGTTGTCGAAATATTTTAAACTGAATGAAATGTTTTTGTTTTTCAGAGCTTTGAACTTTGGCGGCATTGGGGTTGTGATGGGTCACGAACTTACGCATGCCTTTGATGATCAGGGTAAGGGCACCTACCTGATGTGAGGGCTTCTCTGAAGCCCTGTATGTCTTAGAAATATTCCACAAATGTTGTCCTTTCACTTTATTGCTCTAAAAAGAGGTGACTGAGGAAAAAGGGCATCCATGGTACGATACCAAAACACGCTTTAGTCCGTTCTCCATTGTCAGATCTCACTGTAGCCGGTTAATGTCCGGTTGGGTTCTAGCCAAGTTCAGTGCATCTCCATTGGCAGCCATATTGGGATGATCCCAATATGGAGCCCTGTGGAAGAAGAACAAGCCCTTAGATTAATAGAGAGGCTCCTGCCTGTGAGGTCTGACCACACAGGAAAGAGTTGTACCTTTTAATAGCAATATGTTCTAGCCAGAACATATTGCAAAAGCACTAAAATGTCAGAATCCCTTGAGATTTCAGTTATAAGAATGTTTGTTAAAAAGTCTTGAAAGGGCTGAGATTAAAAACGAAACTCCTCATACAGGTCACAAATTTTTAAAAACTTTTAGGAGTCTATTTAAAACCTCTTTCTCCAAAACTTTGGATAGAAAAGGCAGATTGGATTTTGCCTTTCAGTTGAAGGGAACAGTTGGGTCGAGGTGGAAAATGAACAACTTTAACATGTTAATATAACAGCCTCCTTTAATCTTTACAGGCCCTGTTAATTGAATCCAGATATATCTCAATAAAGGCAATTCTTAACCATCTCAGCTCAGGTTTGTGAACAGCTTGAAATCTACCAGAGGGTGACATGATTGGACTGTAACTGCAATATTATTATCAATTTCTAATATTCTGATAAACTTCTTGGAGCATATCGTCCTAATAATGTAAGTAGAGTTCAAGTAAAAACATTTAAGAAAAAAAAGGACGAATAGCTCCATCTGGTGGCCAAAGTTAGGAAGTTGATATTCGAGTGACTTGGCACCCTTTCAGACAGTGCAGATGAAATGCACAAGCTCACATAAAAACATGAAAAACACAAATATTAAACCCAAAAACTCTAGAAATGAATATTTGAACATGATTGACAGACTTATAGAACATTGTGATCTACAGAATAGTGCACATTTCTGTGCTAGTCCAGTTATTTTTATAGCACATTTAAGCAACAACAGTTCAAATTGCTTAACCTCATAAAAAACATCATGTATTTGACAAACTAATGCATAAACATTGTATTTTGTCAAATGCCATCATCAAAATAATCAAGCAATTACACATCAATTTTGTTGATCAATATTCCACTTCAGCAGTCTGATGGTGGTTGAAAAGAAATCTCTTTACCTGCAATTCAGGCTGTGGTATCATCAGAGAGAATTTGTTCACTATGGTTATGTCCATACTGCAGGTCTTGATGCTCAATTCCAATTTTTTCCTGGCACCAATTTTTGTATTTGTTTGTTTTTGCTTGGTCGATCAGACTAATTATATGCGGCCGTAATCAGACTTCTGTGTGAACAGTCCATGACCCCAAAGCAAACCCACAACCCACTAACCATAGATGTCGCACATCAGCGCTTTTTTACCGCAGTAATGATGGACGCTACCGTCAATGGATGGATTTCTAAAGTTATTCAGCAATGGGAGCCGACGGCATGGTCACCAGATCAGAACAAGACGAAGGAAACTGGGTAAAAAGAAAGCCCAGCTAACGGCAACGGCCTTTAGTCGAGCATTGACTGCAGCTTCTGGAGAGAAGTCTGTGTGGATGTGGAGTTGGACCAGGAGTGGTGGGATTGGGATCCGATGTGCGTCATTGAGATTTTTTTCTTAAGTTCATAATTATTATAATTATAAATTCTATGTGTCTGGATTTACTGCATCTGGTTTCTTCTGGTGAAGAATTTTGTCTCATGTCTCACATCAATAACATAAGTTGGATAGAATTTGACATTACCATTCAGACTGCAGACACTTTGAGAACTATTGGATTCATGAAAAGATCAAAATTGGGTCATTCAAATGCCAATGAAAGTCTGACCACATCCCAAACCCTCGACTGAGGAAGAAGAGGGTACGGCTGTTGGATCTCCCTTCATGCAGTCCTTATTGGTTCCCGGAGGAGATTGATGGATAATGTGAAATTCAGAGATGTGAGGAAACCCTCACTCTGAGATGTTTGGAACTAGAACAGGACAAACATACCACCTGGACCCTGTCATACCTTTGGTTGTAGCCAAGTTTGGTGCGTCTCCATTGGCAGCAACGTCGATGGTCCCAATATGGAGCCATGTGGAAGAAGAATAAGCCCTCAATGATGAAGTTTAGAATGAGTTTGTCTGAAATGCTTGAAGTTGATTCAGAGTGCATGTTGTGTTTTAGAGTTCTGATGCAACACCAGGCTATTTGTGACCATCTTCTTGTTCATCAGGTCGGGAGTATGATAAAGAGGGGAACCTGAGGCCGTGGTGGCAGAACTCCTCGGTGGAGGCGTTCCGTCAGAGAACAGAGTGCATGGTGGAACAGTACAACCACTACACCGTCAACGGAGAGCCAATCAACGGAAAACAGACGCTAGGAGAAAACATTGCTGACAACGGTGGACTGAAAGCAGCTTATCATGTTAGTATGCGCACAAGCTGTACCTACTACAAGCACCTCAAACCGCTGAGTTTTCTTATTAATGTCCATGCTTTTATTTGACGTCATCTCTAAGCTGATGTTGATTTTTCTTAAGGCATACCGATCATGGATCCAGAAAAATGGAGAAGAAAAGAGACTCCCTGCCGTCAACCTAACCAACGACCAGCTCTTCTTTCTAGGATTTGCTCAGGTGAGTTTCTTCCAAAACACAGTAAAAACTTGCTTATCTTTCCAGTAAAATTAAGTTATGCAGGTATTGATACTCGGCAAAAAATCTACAACAGAATGACTGACTGAAAATGAAAGGAGTCACAGTTGTCCAGTCCTTAATTTGATTGAAATTCTGTGTTGGGAGATTCAGAGAGATTCAGAAACGTCAATAAAATGAGAATCAAATTTATTTGTCAAGTTTGTGGATGTAAACAAGCAATTTGACTTTGGTTATACTTGTCTCTTAATGTTAAGAGACAAGTACAAACTGCAGAGACTGCTGCAGTCTCTGCAGCACTGCCTTAAAGGTAAAAGACTACACAGTTTGCGTCCAACATGTGTGGGGTCTGCAGTGATGCTAGCTGCCCTTTTCCTGACACTAAACCAGTTCAAGTTCTGGATTGCAGTAAGGTCAGTCAAGATGATCCTCTCTCCAGATCTGACTGTTCCCTGCAGTCTGGATGATTTTTGTGGACAATCCAAACCACACAGTGATTAATGAATAATGACTATGGAGGAGACGACTGGCAGCCTCTGTCGAAGATTTTAATTCTTGAGTTGCTGTAGAAAGTGTAGTCTCTGCTGGATCTCAGGGTCAGATCCTAGTGACAATGGGAAGTGATCTACAGTAGACAAGATGATCCACCTTTAGTCTGCACTCATCACCGACTGATGGAGGTGTCATCTGCCAACTTTAAGAGTTTCACAGATGGGTCTGCTGAGATCCAATCAGAGAGAGAGTGAGGAGAGAACAGACCCCAGGAGTATCCTGATGGTTCTTATGCAGGAGCAGATGCTCCCAGCCTGGTGGAGTCAGGTACTGCGAGCGTCTGGTGGAGGACATGTTAAAGAGCGAAATGAAGTCCACAAACAGGATTCTGGAGTTTTTCCCTGGTGGTTCAGGATGAAGTTAGTCCCAAGTTGGCAATGTCAACTAAGAACAATGTGAGAGGTTAGAAAGTCAAACAGAAAACAAGTGCAAGTTACAGGTTATGCCTGAGGTTGGATATATTGTCCTGACCTATGAACCATCTTTAACGCTGTATCTCTTTCAGGTGTGGTGCTCGGTTCGAACACCAGAGAGCGCTCACGAGGGCCTGGTGACTGACCCTCACAGCCCCCCCAAATACAGAGTCATCGGCACTCTGGCCAACTCTCCGGACTTCAGCCGCCACTTCAACTGTCCAAAGGGCACGCCCATGAACACCGGGAAGCCCTGCGAGGTCTGGTAGAGGAGTGAAGAGGACCGGTGGTGGTGATACGGAGAGGTTAATCAGGTCAATCTCCAGGTTGGCCGCTGTTTTAGTGTCTTAGATTCTGCACGACCCCGTGTTGCGTTCGCGGCCCATGTGTAATCTTTAGTTCATCAGTTACTCGGCGACGATCAGACTGACTTCCTGTCTGGAAACCGAATGGCGTCGCTGGACTTCAGAGACGTGACGGACCGATGGCGATGAAGCTGCTGGAGGGGGGCAGTGTTGCTGATGTTTGCTTTATCACCGTTAATATTAATGGGTATTTGTGGTTGTATTTTGTATGAGAGATCTCTGTATCTTCGTCTATCACTGTGATGACCTCATACCAAACTGGCCCATGACTTCACTCTGTGTGAGGAAGCTGTCGTTTGATTGGCTGGATGTCGGGAGGTGGATGAGTACATTTGTAGGAAATCAGAGGATTTAAATGATCAATCTGTACAGTCTGAGGTTTTATTATACACCAGATCGCTTTAATGTTTAAAGATCTATGTATTGTTTTCATTAATCCCACTGATGGCCAATTGAACGGAAAGTAATTGGCATTAGTCTTTTGGCTTTAATCATAAGTGTGAGTTTTGCCTTTCTTTTCATTGTTGTTGATCCCCATTTTAAAATATTTAATTTCTTTTGTCTGTCTGTCACCTTGAATCCAAGTGGAATTAATCACCATTTTATTTGTGCCAGTTTCACAGTTGAGTCCTTTATAGTCCACTCTACCTAGAATCCATGTTAAACTCAGAGGTTAGTGACTTTTATTTCTTCAGCTGTGAGGAACAATGTGCCATGATCCAGAATGTTGCCTTCAAAGTCCAAAATAAAGTGTTGAAATGTTAAATGAGACCCAGAGAGTGTGGCTTAGACAAAAACGGCTGCAGGTATCAAGCATGGGAACTTCGGTAAAGAAATGATATTTCACAGATGAAACTTAAAGTCTCTGAAAGATGTAACCTTTGGGGAGGCTGAGGCATTACTGGGGATCAATTTCACACCGAATGAGGACCAAGATAGACTCCATGGTCTGTTAGAATATGGCTGGATTACAGCCAATTTGGAAAGGCACTCACAGTGCTGCTATGCCCAGCACAACAGCCTACATCCTCAAGACTCTTTCACCATGATCTTTAAGGGAGAAACAAGTTCTCCACAAGGGGTCTGCAATGCCAGTCCTCGAGTGCCACTGTCCTGCAACCTTTGGATGCATCCAAAGGTGCTCCAATACACCTGAATCATGAGGCCGAATCACCTTCCTGGCATGTCATCCAGTTGATTTGCAGTCCAAGCCTCACCTATGGTCATGAGACATGGATACAGAATTAGTGTCCTCTTGTAGGGTGGATGTATTCTGCTTTAAAGAGGTGTGGAGCGCTGTCATTTGGGGGGGGGGTGCTCAAACTAGAGTCATTACTTCTCCACATCAAAAGGAGTGAGTTGTGGTGGTTTGGGAATCTGATCAAGATACCAGATACCACCTCAGTGCCTCTCTTCAGAGGTTTTCTGGTTCTGTCCCACTGGAAGGTTACCCCTCAGAAGACCTAGAACTCACCAAAAGGACTGTGTATCTTGTATACCCTACAAATGCCTTCCCCAGTATGACTTAAAATATGTTGCTGGGAAAAGGATGTCTGGGGTTCACTCCTGGCCCTGTTGTCCCACATAACCCAACTCTGATAAGTAGATGAGGATGGATAGATGGCATATCTGTACATTTCATAAAAGACTGGACATTTGACTCGAGTGTTGATTCAAGTGTGTTGGAGCATGGCTGCATCCAAAAGTTGCAGGATCGTGGTACTTGAGAGCCACCAATTGCAGCTTTGTCGGGATTTTCATTCACCATCTAGTCTGGGTCTATGAATTGGATGAAGACTGGTAAAGAGTTTCACCAAATTCATTACAACAGGTGTTATGCAACTGGATCTGAAGGCATTGTGAGAACTTGCTTGGCATCCTCAAGGGAAGAGTGGGTGGGATTGAGAGACATTTGGAAACTAACACTATAGGAAAGTGGTTACCATCTAAAGTTTTTGTAAGGGAGAAGAGTTGGGTTTAGCGTGAAACATTTATGTACCGACTACTCAAGATGTGTGAGGCGTTCAGTGAACAAAGTACCACCAATGATTGGTTCAGGAACTTTTGCTTTGAAAATATAACCAGAAGACTTAGTCAATGCTATAATACCATCACATTCCATCACTTCCCGATTACATCATTACTGTGCAGCATCTCGTTTGTTTAAGAAAGCTGCTTCCTGCCAAAGATGTGTGTGCGTGTGTGTGTGTGTGTGTGTGCGCGCGCGTACACTTCATCCATCCTTGTGAGGACCTGTCCTCATCGTACAGCATGTGGGACGCTTTGGAGAGTGGGGGAAGTTAGAATCCAATCCCCACTTCTTTGAGTTAAAGGGCTTTCAGTCAGGGTCAGGTTTAGTTCAGGGTCTGGGGTTGCTCCAGATTCAAAGGGTTCCCAGAGAAATTTAAACGCAACAGAATGTATGTCCATATTCCTAAATTTGTGTTTGTGAGGACCTACTTGTGTTTGAAACCTTTTCTTCACCCATTCACTGGGACTGTTCATACGCTCATATTTAGATCGGTTTTTGGAGTCTACAATGGTCCTTACAGGCACAGTGTGTGTAATTATCTGTCAATGAGACAAAACTGATGTAGAATAACGCTGCTTGTTGTAATCTGTCTGGCCTGAAGGGGGCAACAGATGTTTTCTCTCAAACACAATAAATCACTTTTCTTTTCTGTCTTTAAACACACAGCATCCCACAGAGACCCTCCAACATCAATAAAGTGAAGTAAAAATGCTTCATTTCAGCGTCCCTTTAATAAAATTAAAAACTGATTTCAGATGTTTTTGTTTTGTTTTGTTTTTTTAATAAATGTTAATTTTAACTGTAACAAAACACCCAAACATTGCCTTTTGCTTGCTGGTTGTTTGAATCCAAGCCAACTTCTAATTATACATGAAAATATTAAATATTGATTATGTTTCATGAACTATAACTGCTAGTGATGATTTTTCTCAGCCTCTGGTTTCTGAGACAGAAACCAGAAACATTGAGTAAAAACAGAAGAGCTGAAGCCAAAGTTAAGAAACAAAATGTTGCTTTGATTCTGAAAGTTTTTGTCATCTTCCCATTAACTGGGGAAACATTAGCTTCCCCAGCTAATGTTTAATGTTGCCGGTAAATGAGCATCTAGGCTGAAACTTCCATGAGTTCCACCAGTTTTTAAGGATTTTACTAAGCAACCCAACATATTACTGCTGAGTAAAACTGTAAAGTCACACTGTCTAAAATTACCAGCAATAATTTAGGTTATTTAGTCTGTCATAACTGTAAAACAATTGCTCATTTTTCAAGGTCCTGTTTTCCTTATGTTTTTTATTTACAAATGCCACAGATTCACACTAAATCCTTAGTTAGTAAGATAATTATTTAGCATGGAGCTAGATAGTTAAATGCTTGAATTAATTTAATAGGCAGTTATAAGCATTTTTACAGAGAAACCAAAAACAACTCTGTCTCAACTGTTTGATGAAAGAACATGGAAGATGGCAAGGAATATTTTAGCAGAGAGCATCCATCCTCTTTTTTTGTCAGTTTGAACCTGTGAGCTCATGGAGGCATTATTGTGTCATTGTGTCTGGCACCTAGGAACATCGATTAGAAGTCATTTATTAACAGTACAAAAATTATTCTTAACCAAACTAAATGATAACATTTAGCTAAAGCATGCTATCTGTTTTAATCTATGCACAAATTATTGATATTGTGATTCTATGAATGTTTTATTTTGGAGTCAAAGGAAAATTTACACCTTGATAGACTAAATAGTGCCATCTTATTTTTTCATATATATGAGTCTGCCAACAAAAAGTCTCACAGAATAATATATATGGCACCGTAAAAGCAAAAATGGGAATTTTTGCTTGTATCTCTTTAGCAACCCTGGTTTAACCAACCAGATTTGTTATTTTGAGCCGCGGATAATATAGGAAATAGCGCCCCCTTCACTTCCGGAGTGCAATGGTCCCATTTCCAAATAAGGTATGAGACTGCCATGCGGTCCGTCCCCGCCCTTTTCTGTTTGCTGCAGCGAGGAGAGAGAGAGGAGACGCCACGGTTTCGGTATTGCAAGTTCATGCGCAAAACTGCCGGTGATCCTGCGCCGGGTTACATAAACGTATTTTTTCATGTTGCATAAATGTTTTCTCTCCCTTTTTTTTATTTTTTATTAAAAAAAATAAACATTTTCAAAAACAGCCTCAGCCAGAGATTCACCTCCGATAGATGTCTTTTGGTTAAATTTGATATTATACAAAACTGATTTATGTAGGTTCAGACAAAGTATTTATATTATTTAATTGACATCCATCCATCTTCTTCCGCTTATCCGGGGTCGGGTCGCGGGGGTAGCATTTAACTGACATTATTAAATTATTTCATAAAGTTCTTTCGTATTTCCAAATGTCTCGACTATTTTTAATCACTTTTCCTGGTCACGCTTGACCAAATATGCAAGTTATGCGTTGACGTCAGTCATCGAATTTTAGAATAGCCAATAGCCACTTTGCTTGCTGACCGGTTGGCAATGGCAACAGTGGCGGCGGCGTTCCTCACAGTTTGCTTGCCGGGGCATTTGCTGGTTAAGTGGATGTAGTTAGAAAACATGAACAGAGCGCGAGAAAGCGGACAACCAACCGCTGTTCAATGTTGGACGAATACACCGCCTACTAAAATGAGGAAAAGTCAAATTCAGGTGAATATAAATGTACAGTTAAGTTAGCTGACGATGTAATGACTCCATGCCAGACGGTTCCGGTGTTTTGGCTAGCTCCGTTACACCTGCTAGTCCACCTAACATGCCGAAGATAAACATGGATATTTGAGGACAAATACGATAGTGGAGAGGACTTGAATCATTTTGAAAAAAAAAGAAAAAAGAAAACCTTCTTTATATATATACATACATAAAATAAATTCCTGGAGTGACTGATTTAAAATCCCACAGCTGATTTTGTTTCTCTTAATGACTTGCTTCTTGAAACTGATCATTGATGGAGGATCATAAACTCTGCAGAACCTGAAGCTGACAGGGAAATGACTGGGAGCCAAAAACCAACAAGGAAGCACAGAAAGTTAAAGTTTTTCACGAGACACAAATCAGCCACAGAGACTCACAGAATGCATTGGAACCATTCAATGCATTCTGTTCATTGAATAGTGGTTTGTTTAGAGCAAACACACCTGTTTGCTCTAAAATTTCTTATTGTTTTCCAGCAAGCATCGATTCTAAACAGGAACGTGTTCAGAGACGGAAAGACTCGAATTGGTGAGACGGATTTTACTGAAGTCCTTTCAGTTTATAGAAATGTTATAGAAAACTTTGGTCATTTAACATCTTTTTATTGGAAAAAACTGAGATTAATTTCAGAATTAATGATTAAAATGTTGTGAATCAGCTTACTGTTGAAATTCTACAGCTTTATGTTGTTAATAAAACATTCATTTGTTCATAAAGAAGGAATTAGGAATATCTTTTTCCATCTGCATGAGTAAACTTTTGAGTGCTGTTTTCCTATTGGTCAGATTTTGTCCTGGTGTGGGAGGAGCTTCGGGGTGTTAATGACAATGGCACAGGTAATGGCGCCACCCAGAGGAAGTGGAGGGAACAGTTTCTGAGCAAACTGAAAGAAGTAGGCCTGCTGCAGGAGCAGGTGAGCAAAACAAACACACCTGAGAGTGAAGTCAAACCCAAACAGAGCGACATGTGAGTGAAACGGCTGCCTCTGATTGGCTGTGATGAGGGGATGGAAGGCGTCCCACATCATGACGCCTCTACTGTCAAGCTGGACAGGTGCTCTGTGTCCTAACATGTCCAATTCAAGGTCATTCTATCCTGTTGTCCACAGAGGGAGGTCCGCAAGGCGAAGAAGAGGATCCACTTCATCCTCCTCAGCGCCCCCTGGAGTGTCCTCTGTTACTACGCCGAGGAGATCAATCTCAAAGTCCCGCTGGAGGTAAAACCTTCCCGTGCAGCTGTCACATCTCTAGTGGACATCCTCTCAGTTTGTCCTTTGTCCTCCTGCAGGTGGTCACCGTTCCAATCACTAACTGGTCCGAAAGCTTCCTGTCCAAGCTGTCCCTCCCTAACCCTCTGTCCCAGAACGTCCCCAACCCACCCCTGGAATACTACACCTGTCAGTTCAGGACCAACAAGCTGGAGAGGTCTGCTGTGTCTTTGTCCTCAGTCTCTGTCCTCAGTCTCTGTCCTTTGTCTGGGACCAGACTAGTTTCCGCTGCAGCATCACCTGTCCTCTATCTGCAGGTTCCTGGGAAGCAGTGACAAGGAGACGTTCTTTAAAACCACCCAGAGACACCAAGTGGTGAGTTCAGGCACCGTAGAACATCTAATTATTCTTCTGAGATGAGGACAAGAAGAAAATGAGTTCAAGACGAGTCTTGAGCCCTGCATCCCTGATAATCTGATGTACAACAAAACAACAAGTTGTTGCTGTCGGACAGAAGCTTTGTATCCCCAAAAATATAACTTATAAGGAAACAAATTAACTTGTTATATACTCAGTTATAATTTATCAGGGTCAAAAAATCTGAGTTTGGTGACAGTTATTTCCAGTCAAAGTATCTTAAGCTGTGTTTCTCATGGAACATTGCTCATTCCTCAGGGGCGTGTCCTGGTGTCCCTCATCTTTCTCTTTCAGTTTGAGTTTCAACCTGAAACGTTTCTCTGTGTCTCTGCAGCTGTATGAGATCCTGGCCAGAACTCCGTACGGTTGTGTGAACCGGGGCGAGGTGGGCATCGACCGGCTGATCAGTGAGGAAGTCTTCACAGCAGCGTACCCACTGCATGAGGTCTGAACCTGACATCCCTACAGTTTAAAATGGTTTACAGGAACTTTTACAATGTCAGCTCTGTTTGCAGGGGAACTACAAGATGCCGGACAACCCAGTGTCCCTCCAGTCTTTAGGACTGAGGCAGATCCTGCATGGGTACTGGTCCAAGTGGTCCTGCTGGAGACGCTACCAACCTTTGGGCCACATAAGGGCATACTTTGGGGAGAAGATAGCTCTCTACTTTGCATGGATTGGTAATTACAGTCATGATTGAAATGTCCTGATCCAGTCCAGACATGCCTCGTTTCATTGAGCGGTACGGCTTGGTGCACTATTCTGTTTGTTTCCATTGTAAAGCCGGCCCATTCCACCGACTCCTAGTGCACCGTTCCTGGGTCCCCCTCGGTTGTACGTCCATAGGACAACAATACGGTGCGGTTAGGATGGCGCCACACCACACAGTCCATTGATTGTGAGACAGAAAACACCACTGTTTGCGAGAAGTTTGACATTGCTCTCGTATGACGTAATGGTCCAACCGGTGGAGGAGTCGGCACACCAATCCGGGCCGAACTGCTCAGTGGAAACGAGGCGATCGTCTTTCCCTGTTTTCCATGCTATGATCCAGTTTTTCCCTTAATCCTTTAAAGTGGTCTAAATTTACCACTCACCAGTCTGACTGGAGGATATGAGATGTCTTTAAGATTTTCAGTGGACCAACAGCTTTCCCTAGGATGACGAGTTCCCATGGATGAGTACTGGAGTCCCTGGTGTGGCACTTTAAAAGATCTTAACATGTTTTCTTGTCAGAAGGCAGATTTAACACAGACTACATGACTGTAACTCTCCTCAGTGTTAAGTCAGTGGGTGTCTGCAGGTTTCTACACTGCCTGGCTGCTGCCTGCATCTCTGGTTGGGACTCTGATCTTCCTGTTGGGTTTTGCAGATTTGTTCTCTGACGTCCCAGCGTAAGAACACATTCCACCTTTATTGTTTAGACCAGTGGTCCCCAACCCCGGTCCGTGGACCAATTAGTACCGGGCCGCTCAAAAAATAATTAAATATTTCTGTTTTATGTATTATTTGAGTCTGGAGGATCTTTTA